ATCTGGTTGTTTGTCTTTTTCCACTAGAAAGTAAGCTGTATCAGGATAATAACTTTGCCTATTTGGATCACCAGTGCCTACCTCATAAAAGGTGTTCAATAAATTGTTCGAATAAATGTGTAAATGACTAAATGAATACATACTAACTCTTTTACATTCTCTAGAAAACACAGATGAACTCAGGAGTAATATTTAAAATACCACAAATAGAAGATCCAGTTCCTACAAAGCCACAATTCAGAGGACAGATAGGCACAGGTATTTACTCACCAGTATGCCAGGCCCACCAATCTGGCAAGGTCTCCCCCACCGTGGGAGAGGAAGTGGGGTGCAGAGCGAAGTGCTTCTTCACATCAGGGAGCACTAACTAGAAAGCCCAAGTTTTGAAAAGCTCCAAACAGGTATTTGCGCTGTCTACAGAATTGTTTGAATATTTTAACAACCTATACAGCCATATACCTGTACATAATGGTTGAATATCAGTCCTGGACACACTCTTCATACCCACTACTATACAGCACTACTATACAGGTAATTCACCTCCCTGGAAAAATGCCAAACCCATTCAGCCATTACTAGATACTATACAGACCACTAGAATCCTATCAGTTGATAAATGAAGAGAAAAAAAATTTAAAGGGATTACAAGATGGCGTTCAAGCTTGCTTTTTTAAGAGAAATACTAATATTCTGATGCAAGAAAACCAGGTCCCAAGTATTACCATAAATTTCCAAACAATCCATGTATTTATATGCTCATTTGATTACACCAGCAACAAAAAAAGAATTTTGTGATTAAAGCTGACTTTTGGAGGCAACCACTTCACTATAACTTGTATTTTTTGTTATGTAAGCAACCTGCCACGATATTTCCCTAAATAATTTAGAATATAGAATTTAAATGCTTTTTCAAAAAAAATCTTAACAGGTAAGAATACATTTCAGAATATGCTGATAGATTTCCTCCTAAAAGTGACAGTAATTTCCTAGGCAATGTATTTGCATTTCATAGTACCAAATGAATGAATATAAGACACATAGGCTATACCAGGTTAACAAAATTTAGAGGGAACAGGTAATAACCAAGGACAGCTGTTTTTATTTAAATATTTACTTAGTGTACAAAAAGTGGGAAAAGTTAATGTTCAGGTTTTCTGAATATTCAACTTTAGAACTTAAGGAATAATGTTCTTATAGACTTATATGATAAGCATTTTCTCAAAAACTAAAACCTACTTTTTGCCAACCCACAAACACACACATATGCAACTGATCAATTCTATTGCAATTCCACAAATTTAAAACAAACAAGCAAACAAACAAAAACAGCTTTGGTCTTTATATATCCAGGTTAGATTCTGAATTACTATCAAGTTGCCAAACTGATTTCCCTACTTCAATTTCCCCTGATAGAAAAAATAAACAGGAAAATAATTTATAAGATAATCAGGGAAATTGGAAAACTGACGATGTATGATTATATAAAGGAATTACTGTTAAATTATTTTGGGTAAAATAATAAAACTGTATATTTATGTATGTATACAAATAGCGAGGAAGACATAGATATACATAGGTGTGTGTGTATATATACACAACATATTTCATAGTTAAAAAAATTGATGTTAATATTTCAGTAGTATAATTCTGTATGGTATATATTCATTTTTATATATCATGCATACATATAACTGGAGTCTTTCTCTTTTAATACTAAAATTTTTATGGTTTAAATTATATAGTTCCTGATACTTGCCTTAAAATAATCTGTGGCAGTAAAATAAGTAGATGATGGAACAGATCAAATAAGATAGCCCGTATGCCCATAACTACTGAAGATGGATGATGGGCATATGGCCATTCTTTATATGAGTCTCTCCACTATATATAAGTGTGTGTGTGTGTGTGTGTGTGTGTGTGTGTATATATATATAAATAATATGTTTGGAATTTTCCATAATAAAAATCTTAACAATAAATAAAAATGTTCCACTAAGAAACAAAGTTGCATACTACTTAATGTTTTTCCCCAAATCCTCCAGGCAGATTCTGTTGATTGAGGCTGCTTTACATTAGTTAGTTATCACCATTAGTTATCACCATTAAATGATATTTCCATTAGACTAGAGACAGTGCTTGGCCTTAGGCAGTCCTTAGGCCAAGCCCTGTACTCATTTTGGTTGCACCAGAACCTAATACAATGTCTAGCAAAAAGTCAACCCTTAAAAAATGTTTACTGATCTTAAATAAATGTAAATATTTTTTAAAAAGACTGAGTACAGAGAATCTCATTTAACTGTGATTTTACAGAAACCATTATCTTCTATGTTATTTACTTGTTGGTAACCACCACAAATCAAAAAGAATTAAAACTGTATACCTAATATTCCTACATTTCTTTAGAAGTAGTGTTTAGCTCTAAACAACTAATTTGAAGACCCCTTGCGAACTTAAAACATTTAATAGCTACATGCTTCAACATTAGTTAACTGCTGAATCTAGTTTTCCAAATACTAGAGAATTTGCAATCAACATCAAAAATATCATGATTCTTAAAAGAAGTTAATTTTAAATTATTTTAAATACACGTGTGGAAAAAATATGTAAGATTATACACCAAACACCGGCTAATTTCTGGAGATGTGCTGTCCAATATAATAGCAACTAGTCATATGTGGTATTTAAATTAAAATAAAGGAAACAAAATGAAGTTTAAAATTCAGTTCCTCAGCTCTACTAGCCACATTTCAAATGCCCATTAGCCAAATATGATCAGTGGCTACCATATTGCCAATGAAGATCTAGTGTAGTTTCATCATAGCAAACAGTTCTATGAACACTGCTATTCCAGAGGACGCAGATCACAAGGGACTCATTTTCTGTTACATATCTGCATTGCCTAAATACCGTGTAACATGCATGTATTTATTTTTATTGAGGCAAAATATAAATAATGTAAAACTTGCCATTTTAACCATTTTTAAGTTTACAATTCAGTAGCATTGATTACAGTCATGCTTTGCAACCATGACCACTTCCAAAACTTTTTATCATCCCAAACAGAAACTCTTCAACCATTAAGCAATAATTCCTCATTTTATTTACTTTCCATCTCTCTGCAGTTGCTGATTCCATGTATTCATATAATACACTTATATGATTTATATAAGTGGAATCATACAATAGTTCTCCTTTTGTGCCTCGCTTATTTCACTTAGCATGTTTTCAGGTTCATTCATGATGTAGCAGGTATCAAGACTTCATTCCTTTTGATGGTTGAATAAGATTCCATTATATGTATATACTACATTGCTTATCTATTCATTCACTGATCATCAGCTGGGTTGTTTTCACCTTTTGGCTATTGTGAATAATGCTACAATGACTATAAGTGTACAAATACCTGAGTCCCTGTTTTCAATTCTTTGGGGTATATACCTAGTTGTGGGATTACTGGGTTATACCATAATTCTGTTCATCTTTTTGAAGACCCACCAAACTTTTCCACAGTGGCTGTATAATTTCACACTGAATAAACTTGGCACCTTTGTCAAATATCAACTACCCATAGATATGTGTGTTTATTTCTTGACTCTTAATTCTATTCCATTGTTGTATATCTTTATGCTTATGCCATTTCCATATTGATTACAGTATCTTTGTAGGAAGTTTTAAAATCATGAAGCATGAGTCCTCCAACTTTTTAATTTTTTTTCCAAGTTATTTTGGAATTCAAGGACACTTGAAATTCATTATGAATTTGGGAATCAACTTTTCCATTTCTGCAAAAAAGGTCATTGAAATTTTTACAGAAACTGCATTGAATCTATAGATCACTTCAGCTAATATTGATAGCATACTGTTAAGTCTTCCTACCCAGGGAATACATGTCTTTCCATTTATTTAGGTCATATTTAATTTCTTTTAGCAATGTTTTTTTAACATTCAGTGAACAAGTCTTCTGCATTATTGGTTAAATTTATTCCTAGGTATGTTATTCCTATAGATGCTATCATATATGGAATTATTTTCAGTTTCCTTTCCAGATTGTTCATTGTTAGAGGTATAGAAACACTACTGATTTTTGTGTGTTGACTTTACACTCTGCAACACTACTGAATTCATTTATTAGTCTTAATAGCTTTCTTTTGGGTTCTTTAGGATTTTCACATATAAGATCATGTTATCTGAGAATGGAGATGGTTTTACTTCATCCTGTGCAATTTAGATGTCTTTTATTTCTTTTTCTTACTTAATTGCTTTAGCTAGAACTTCCAGTACAATGTTGAACAGCAGCAGTGAAAGCAAGCATCCTGTGTCTTATTCCTAACTGTAGGGAAAAGCTTTCAATCTTTCACCATTGAGCATGTTGGTAGTTGCGGAATTTTCATAATTGCTCTTTATAATGTTAAGGAAGTTCTCTTCTTAGTTTTCTAAGTGTTTTGATTATGAACAGGTATAGGATTTTATGAGTGCCTTTTCTGCATCAATTAAGATGATCATTTCTTTCTTCCCTTTATTTGATTATTATGACGTACTGCAATGATCAATTTTCTTATTTTGCACTCCAAGGATAAATCCTGGTCATGGTATCTACTCCTTTAATATGCTGCTGGGTTAGGTTTAGCATTTTGATGATGATTTAGCAGGCATGCATTATTAAAACAATTATAAAAAATATTACAAGCATACAGACGATTATAGTTCATATTATTTCTTATTAAGAATTTTTTAATTGAGGGTTACACACATTTAAGACATTCTACTGAATGCTAAATTAAAATGAAGTGAGAGGAAAAATTGTCCCTTTTTATGTTAACATTAAGTATTACTGATCTTAGGACTGCTGCAATTTTAAAAATGCTGGTTCTTTAAGTATCATTTCTTACATGCTTGAAAATATATAATGAATCTCTAAAAATAAAAGTCTACAAGATGAATATAGCATCAATAAAAATTCTAAATCTACTACTAAAACAATAAATATGAAAATATTTTACCCCTTCAGAGAAAACTTTTGCACAGTCCTTTGCTAATTTTCCAAAAAATAATACATTTATGGTGTTACTTTCCAAATCTGAATTTTCTTGTTCTAGAAGAGAAACACACATACACACAGAAAAACACTTATTAGATACTGCAGTTTTTTACACACAAGAAAACTGATGGCAACTACATATTCTAAAAATAAGTTACTTCAAAATGTAATTATAACGAATTTAAATGTTTATAATTCACTTTTAGTTTACTATAATATTTTAATTTTAAAAACAATGAACAGAATGCTACTGGGAATAAAAACCAAAATTATAAGTTTCAGCTAAAATACACTTTATAAAGTTCTATAAATATCACATTAACATCACTTAATGACCACTTTCTTTTTATTCCCCATGTTTATAAACAAAAGAACCTGAACCAGGTATTAATTACTCAATTTTATACAACATTTTATCACTCTGCAAATATTTCATCTTTACTGAATTCTAGTAATCTACAATGATTGGTGTATTAAGCTTTAATCTAGGTAACAGAGGTCTTCTCCCCCAGCACCCATATATTGAAGAATAAAAGAGCTGTGCGTAGTTAGAGATCAAGCTATATGTAATTCTAAAAATGAAAATTACTTGGGCATAAGAAATGAACATTTTACAAGTAATCTCATTTGGATCTTCTAGGCTTTGGGAAAGAATCTCCATAATCTTCATTCTCCAAAAGTTACTTCTATAACCACTGCAGGTGGGCTGAATGCTAAGACTCAATTATACCATCGTATAAATAAAATTGTCCTTTTGTGTGCATTTATGTATATGTGTATATTTACATACAAAGTTATCCATTTGTAGATTACAAGCAGAATATTAAATAGAAATGGAATTATATACCTTGCAGTCCGATCTTCAAAATAGGTGTTCTGTTTCCACCATAAGTTAAAGAAGAGATACGTGAAAGTTTTCCCTAAAATAAGAGAATAAGGATTACACAGAAGAACCAAAAGAGCTTATTATAACACCTAGCTATAAGTAAAAACCAAAATCATTTTTTAAGGCAACTGACTTTGATCTTTTAAGAAATTAAAGTACTATGTTCAAATTAGCATTTTTAATACATGAAAATGATTATGTAGAAGAAAATGTGAGGCCAAGAAATACTTCAGGTTCATAATTTAATTTCTTAAGCTTATTAGCTAAATATTATTGATTCCTCATTTTATATATAAAGATGAACTAGCTCAACTTCTGCTTTATTTTAGCCTGTAAAATTGTTCTCTACTAAAGAAAAAAATTAAGAGTTTGCTCCTAGAAAAAAAATTAAAACTTATTAACAAAAAATGTTATAGTACAAAATGATGATCTCATAAATAAGGACAGTGCAGACAAATCAATGGACTAAGGCACAAATACTGTTTAGTCCTTGTTCTGCGTCTGTAACTAACCAACTCTGTCAGCCAAAAAAGTTATTAGAGTCTCAGAAAAAATTAAAGTTTTAACCTGGGCAGTTTCTATAATTTCTTCTGGCTCTAAAATTTAATGATTCTATAAGCAAATATAATATAGGGCTTTTTGAAAACTTCTACACAGATATAAAATTTAATAAAGTTTAAAAATAGATTCTATAATGCATATCTCTCAAACTAATGTTGCAGACTTTGATATAGCTAACAATAAAGATAACAGCTATGTTCATAATCAATTTTACCCAAAAAATGAAAATCAGGAAAAAAATTGAGTATCAGCTGTAAATAATGATTCAGTTGAAAGTAAAGGTAAATAGTTCCACTAAGGAGGTAGGAAGCTGGAAAGAACAAGAAAAAGTTGCACAATGCAGAAATTCAAAATTTTTCTTGACCCAAGTCAGAAAACAATCAAATAACCAAAAATCAGGAAAAGAGAAGTTCCTCCCATGAGAGATGGGAGGCAAGTGATCTGAGGTCATAGGGCAACAACTAGCCAGAAACCTAAAGAAAGAGATTTCCAACGAGAGATGGACAGTAAGCACTTGCTCCCTTGAGGTAAATGGCAAATGTTGCCTGACATCTGTGAGAAAAATTTGTCTCACATTTTAATGAGCTGCTAAAGGCCAAGTATAGGCTAGTAAAAAAAACACGGAAACTCTGGGAGCTGCACACACAAGGGGATTCACACCAACTTTTGAGCTCTTCTCCACAAACTGGACAAACTCCAGGCAGGAGCAGCACAAGAGTGGTGGTAGCAGTTAGTGCAGAAAAGGCCAGAGTCCCCGCCTGGATCTTTTTTCCCTGTCTTTCTTTCAGAACCCAGTCCCCATCTGCTGGCACAAGGTCAACAAACCTATGAATCTTAGAACTTTGGTGAAAACCCAGTGCAGCTGAAAGAGAAAAACAGAAGAAAACTAATACATAAAATGTCATTTCATTTGAAATACCCGGGAAAATGGAAAATATAACAGAAGCATACAAGATAAACAAACGTCTATTAAAGAATATTGATTAGAAGGGCCAGACATAAATGTAGCAGTACTTCTCTTACTTTTGCTCTGGAACTCATTGTACTAATAAGCCTCTCACCTCCCTCCTCTTATTCTCTTAGTCCCTAGCTTAGATGAACAGTAATGAAAATGAAAAATTTACTAAGTATGCATAACAGAATATTGGATATTGCAGAAAAAAGTTCAGTGAACTTAAAGGCAGATCAATATAAACTAATTTAAAAATCTCCACCAAAAAAGAAAACAATAGCGAAAAAAAGGAACAGTACCTCAGAGACCTATAATATAGTAGCAAACAGCCTAACATACAAACATACATGTAATTGACATCTGGGGGAAGAGCAACAATGTGGGCGAGAAAAAATTCCATGGAACATTAGCCAATACTTTCCCTAAATTGGATTAAAAATATTGCCTTATGTATCCAAGTAACTCAATTACCAAAAAGCAGGAGAAATTCAAAGAAAAACCACACCTAAACACATGACTATCTAACTGCTAAAAACAAAAGATACCTATTCTGAGTTATGAAAATTCTTACCTGAATATATTTCTTGCTATAATCACAACCAGGCTGTAGGGATCTGAAGTCTACTTTGTGCAGTTTTTTAAGCGGCTCAATTTCAGGCACCCCATTGACTTCTTTTATTAATTCAAGTGGCATATCAGATCTGCTTTACAAAGCTGTCCAAAGCAAATTCAATCAGAGAAGCTGATATCTTGCTGCTGAAAACAGACGTTGTTTTATACAAAATGTAGTCAATAATTTGCTCTAAGATTCTCTTAGTTTTTTTCCCCCCCTTTAAGTTAGTTATCACTGTTGGGGTTGAGGGCGGGAGAACAGATTACGCTATACTTTTATTACAAGAATCAATATAAGCATTCTCCTAAGGCACTGAAATCTAATATTCCTTTATTTAGTTTTGTATTTTAAAAAAGTACCTCTAAAAGTCAGTTTTAGGATCTGTGAAAACTGCTCTAGGAAAAGGCTTACCACTGTGCTTTAAAACGTACAAGCTACTGGGGAGGGGAAAGGGAGGGCTGTGGAAAGTTTCGGTTTCATATTTTCAATCCCGTTTGCAGTTTTAATATTGTGTACGCAAACTGTACACCAAAAGCAAATTACTCCAAAATATATCTGTTGCCTCCTCCCTTCAGCCGCTATACAATGGGGAAAAAAACTATTAAACTGACGTTTACTTGCGCATTGTAGGTTCAATCTTATTTCTCAAAACTCTTAACTGGGACATGCACTAGGGTCAATACTTAATTTTACGTGTGCGCACCAACCTTTCCCTAGCCGGCAGAGATACGTGAGGGAGGGGATTTAGATTAAATTAAGCAGCTCCCAAAACGCCAAGCAGCGTGCTGAACACAGCTGGCTCACGATAATGACATGCAATAACTATATTTAATACTGTTTTAAACTAAATCAGCGTCTTTATATTACTAGTTCAGGTCCAACCCACGCAGCAAACTCCACACCAGATCAGAAATTTACTCACCGCGCTCTAAACCAAAACTAAGCGTTTAGACGGGCGCGCCTGTGACGTCACAGGCACGCTGGCGGCGCAGTTCCACGCATGCGTACAGGGACGCTAGCGCTGCATTGCGGCTTGCTCCCTTGCCACCAGAAGACAGAGCTAGGCTCTGTGATGTCCTGTGTTAGGGCCACGTTTAAGAATCAACCAATGAATGCATAAATGAATGGAACAGAAAATTGATGTTTCTCTCCTCCATTCATCTCTCAAAATCAGTAATAAGTCAATCTTGTGACCAATTAAAAACTACTCCAAAACCAGGGAAGGATTTGAGATTCTGTTTGATAGACTGGAAGCTCTGGTGGGCAGGGCTGGCACTCCCCAAGCGATGACCCAGATGGACGTTCTACAAAGAAATAGTTCCAGCAATAAGTAATGCTATTTCAGACAGGTTTGGTTAACCTCTTCACTGGTTGGTAGGGATATGATTTGTGGTATAATAAATAAGATACTATTCACTGAAAACACAAAGTGGGCCGGGTATTCCTTCAGCAAAAAGGACTTACTGGGGCGCTGGGCTGGGGCGTCGGGAGAGAGAGGGGCGAGGATTGCAACTCAGGACCTGCATCTATGACAAGCCTCTTGCAAGAAGAGAGCCAGATAATAGGAAGGTCTTTCATATAGGGGAAAAGGAAGTTCAGGGGAGGGTGACCATTACCATTAGTTCTGTTAAAACCATAAAGTTCTTCTGCAGAGCATTCAATACTAAGGTAGGATGTGAGAAGTCCTCCAACGGGCCCTTCACGTTCCTGTCTTGGTTAAGGTCTCTGTGATGAATTTGCACAAGATACTGTACAATGTGAACCGTCTGCTAATTTATAACTCATGGCTCTAATTTTATTTCAGTGAAACCAAGACGGACTAGTAAACCAAGCTAAGCAGAATAGGGAAACTGAGCCAGATTCTTAAACAGCCAAGCAGTATACAGCCATCTAGTAAATCGCCAAATCTTATTTTCTGTAACCAAGGACACTTAAGAGTAAATTTATGCTTCTCCCCAACAAGAGGGTAAATAGCTTAAATCACCCCTCTCAGCCATATAACAGAACGGCAATTAGTGCCATTTTGCCAACCACACCCAAGGACAGATGAAGTTAAGGAAATAAATCCAATTTTGGCACATCAGTATAAAACTGATAAGTATTCTATTGAGATCCTCCCCAAGACCTCTCCTGAACCCCTATACCTTTAAAAACTTTTTTTTTGAGCGGAAAGTATTCAGTGTTAGCCTATCTTCCCTTCCAACCCTGTAATCATATACATTGCATAAACCAGCAGTGACAAAGCTTTTTTTTTTTTTTAAGAAAAACTATGCTAAGGAAGGCTTAAATATTCCTCTTCTGGCCTCACTTGGCTCAGAAATAACTGTTCCTCCACACTGGATCATGATACTTTCACTCCACCATTAATTATGTCTTTTCTCAACATATTTTCAACTGTTTCTTCTTATTCTTTGCCATCAGCATTTATTCTTTTTTTTTTTTATGGCCATATTTTTATTTCAATTTTTTTTTCATTTTTTTTATTTTTTTTAATTTACTTTTTAAATACATTTGTCTCTGCCTCCCCCCCACCTCTTTCCGTTGCCCCCTCCCACCTTCCCTCCCTCACCTCTTCCCCTTTGGTTTTGTCCATGAGTCCTTGCTATATGTTCCTTGACTTTCCCATTCCCTCCCCTTCCCTGCCCCCCCCTTCTCTCTTGTCTCTGTTGATTTCTTTTCCTTTCAATGTTGCTGGTCATATTTTCCTTGCATCTTTGCATTGTTGGTTAGGTTCCGCTTATAGGTGAGATCATATGGTATTTGTCTTTCGCCCCCTGGCTTATTTCGCTTAGCATGATGCTCTCCAGTTCCATCCATGCTCTTGCAAAGTTTAGTACTTCTTTTTTTATTTCTGCTGCGTAGTACTCCATTGTGTATATGTACCATAGTTTTTGGATCCAATCATCTACTAATGGGCATTTAGGTTGCTTCCAAGACTTGGCTATTGTAAATTGTGCTGCTATGAACACAATATTGGGGTGCATAGGTTCTTTTGTATTGGCGTTTTGGTGTTCTCGGGGTATAGTCCCAGCAGGGGAATCGCTGGATCAAAAGGCAGTTCCATTTTCAGCTTTCTGAGGAAATTCCACACTGCTTTTCATAGTGGCTGCACCAGTCTGCATTCCCACCAACAGTGGACTAGGGTTCCCTTTTCTCCACAGCCTCGCCAGCACCTGTTGTTTGTGGATCTGTTTATGATGGCCATTCTGACCGGTGTGAGGTGGTACCTCATGGTGGTTTTGATCTGCATTTCTCTGATGGCTAGTGATGCTGAGCATCCTTTCAAATGCCTCTGGGCCCTCTGTATCTCCTCCTTAGAAAAGCATCTGCCCAGGTCCTTTGCCCATTTTTGGATTGGATCGTTTGTCTTCTTGGAGTGGAGTCGAGTGAGTTCTTTATATATCTTGGAGATCAAACCTCTATCTGATGTATCATTAGCAAATATATTTTCCCCTACAGTTGGCTCCCTTTTCATTTTGCTGATGTTTTCTTTAGCTGTGCAGAAGCTTCTTATTTTGATGAGGTCCCACTTGTTTATTCTTTCCTTTATGTCCCTTGCTTTAGGAGACATATCAGTGAAAAAATTGCTGCGTGGGATATCTGAGAGTTTCCTGCCAATGTTCTCCTCTAGGACTTTGATGGTGTTGCGACTTATATTGAAGTCTTTTATCCATCTTGAGTTTATTTTTGTGTATGGTGTCAGCTGATGATCCAATTTCAATTTTTTGCATGTAGCCATCCAGCTCTCCCAACACCATTTGTTGAAGAGGCTGTTATTGCTCCATTTTATGCTTCTGCCCCCTTTGTCAAATATTAGATGTCCATAGAGACCTGGGCTTATTTCTGGGCTTTCTATTCTGTTCCACTGGTCTATGGGTCTGTTCTTGTGCCAGTACCAGATTGTTTTCAGTATGGTGGCTTTGTAGTAGAGTTTGATGTCTGGTATTATGATCCCTCCTACTTTGTGTTTCTTTCTCAAAATTGCTGCGGCTATTCAGGGTCGTTTATGGTTCCATATAAATTTTTGAAATGTCTGTTCTATTTCTGTGAAATACGTCATTGGTATCTTAATAGGGATTGGGTTGAATCTATAAATTGCTTTGGGTAGTATGGACATTTTGAGGACATTAATTCTTCCAATCCATGAGCACGGTATATGCTTCCATTTATTTGTGTCTTCCTTAATTTCTTTTTTCAATGTTGTATAGTTTTCTGCATACAGGTCTTTTGTGTCTTTGGTTAAATTTATCCCTAGGTACTTTATCTTTTTTCGTGCTATATCGAATGATATATTTTTTCTGATTTCTTCTTCTTCTATTGCACTGCTGGTGTACAAAAACGCCTTTGATTTCTGAATGTTGACTTTGTGTCCTGCTGTTTTGCCAAATTCACTTATTAGGTTGAGGAGTTTTTTGGTAGAGTCTACAGGGTTCTCTATGTACACTATCATGTCATCTGCAAACAATGATAGTTTTACTTCCTCCTTTCCTATTTGGATGCCTTTTATCTCTTTCTCTTGTCTGACCGCTGTGGCTAGGACTTCCAATACGATGTTGAAAAGAAGCGGTGAGAGCGGACATCCTTGTCGTGTTCCCGATCTTAGTGGGAAAGCTTTCAGTTTTTGCCCGTTGAGTATGATATTGGCTGTAGGTTTTTCATATATGGCCTTTATTACGTTGAGGAATGCCCCATTGATTCCCATTTTGCTGAGTGTTTTGATCATAAATGGGTGCTGTACCTTGTCAAATGCTTTTTCTGCATCTATCGAGATGATCATGTGGTTTTTGTCTTGGCTTTTATTGATGTGTTGTATCTCGTTTACTGATTTGCGTATGTTGAACCATCCCTGCATCCCTGGGATGAATCCCACTTGATCGTGGTGGATAATCTTTTGAATGTATTGCTGTATGGGGTTTGCCAATATTTTGTTGAGGATTTTAGCATCTATGTTCATCAGCGAAATTGGCCTGTAGTTTTCTTTCTTTGTAGGGTCTTTATCTGGTTTTGGGATCAGGGTGATGCTGGCCTCATAGAAGGAGTCTGGGAGTCTTCCCTCCTCTTGGATTTTTAGGAATAGTCTGAGAAGGACAGGGGTTAGCTCTTCCTTAAATGTTTTGTAAAATTCTCCTGGGAAACCGTCTGGCCCTGGGCTTTTGTGTGCTGGGAGTTTCTTGATGACTGCTTCAATTTCCCCAGCTGTTATCGGTCTGTTCAAGCTTTCTGTTTATTCCTCCTTCAGTGTTGGAAGATTATACTTTTCTAAAAATTTGTCCATTTCATCCAGATTTTCAAATTTCTTGGCATATAATTGTTCATAATAGTTTCTGATGATCATTTGTATTTCTGTGGTATCAGTTGTTATTTCTCCTCTTTCATTTCTGATATTATTCATTTGGGTCCTCTCCCTTTTTTTCTTGATGAGTTTGCTTAAAGGCTTGTCAACTTTATGAATCTTTTCAAAGAACCAGCTTCTGGATTGGTTGATCCTCTGAATTGTTCTTTTTGTCTCTATGTCATTCAGTTCTGCTCTAATCTTGACTATTTCCTTCCTTCTACTTGCTCTGGGATTTATTTGTTGTTGTTTCTCCAGTTCTTGAAGTTGTAGTGTTAGGTCTTTTATTTGAAATGTTTCTGTCTTTTTAAGGTAAGCCTGTATTGCTATGAACTTCCCCCTCCGGACCGCCTTTGCTGTGTCCCATAGGTTTTGGACAGTTGTCTGTTCATTATCATTTATTTCCAGAAATTTTTTGATTTCTTCTCTTATCTCATTATTGACCGATTCATTGTTTAATAGTGTACTGTTCAGTCTCCATGAGTTTGCAAGTTTTTGAAGTTTCTCTTTGAGGTCGATTTCGAGTTTCAAGACCTTGTGGTCTGAGAAAAAGTTTGGTATTATTTCAATTTTCCTGAATTTACTGAGGCTTGCTTTGTGTCCTATCATGTGGTCTATCTTTGAAAAACTGCCATGAGCATTTGA